TATCTGTCATGTTAATGTACAAAATAAGGCTGATTTAACGTCCACAAACGGAGATTGAAGCGTTATTTTTTAGAATTGTACTGACATACGGCTTTAGTAATAAAGATGGTAAAATCGCTGTAATTCATTACTAACATGCACTGTTTTAAAAACGTTTTAAACTTGTAAAACTCATTTGATTATGATTGATGATCACAGAGAGCTGAACAGATCTTTTAATCCCAGTTGCTTTGCACACTTCCTGTCTTGTTGATATAATTATAAGCCTAACCATGGCGACATGTTAATATACAGCTGTCAGTCAATTTGGTTGGTGGGTTAATTGCACTCCTACGTCACGTTGTGGTGGGCCTCGATATGGGAGGGATTTGGATCCTATTTTTACATAATTAAATTAAAAAAAGAGACTCATTGTGTTTATATCACCACAATATGACTGTGGACACATGATACCTACACACAGTTTTGTTTAAACAGCTTACCAAAGATGATTTTTATCATAGGTGCCCTTTAAAAGAGCGCTAGGTGCTGAAACTTAGAATGCACAATTAAATAGTCAATACAAAAAACACAAAAATTACTGTAAACAAAGGTTTAATAATAGCCAGAACTGACATTAGACGTGGGTTATCTGTGAATATTTAATTTATTTTCCCCCTTAAAATAAAAAAATAGAAAACAAACAGACAAAACAAGACAGTGTACAGATGGCCCTTTATGTAAACAGCAACCAAACCAAGCGCTGATATTTACGGGTATTACATGTTCATGTCAGGAGGGGTTTGTGGAGCAGAAACCTCAAGCCTGTAGAGTCTCTGCATGGGATGAATGTCAATGCTGTCCCTCAGCTTGGCCACAGAAGGCATGAGGTCTGGGCCTCCGCCAGGCTCTTCTCTCTCAGTCTCTTTTTGTTTCTCTTCGTCTGGCTCACTCCCTCATTCCCCGCCTCTGCCATCGCTGCCGCACCACTGGCCAAAATGGGGGATCGCCACATCAGCTGAGCTCTGCTTTTTTAACCCAGACACATGCCAGCAGGACAAAATTATTGGCAAAAAGTCCAGAGAATTCAATGCCAAGAAGAACTCATTCGTTTCATCATTACTTAATATTTTAATTGTCCAATAACAACACTGCCTACCAATTTGCAGCAGAAATGTCCTTATAAACACTGCATGTTCCTTGAAATCATTGTGCAATTTTGAGTGTGCCTAATGCATGAGTGGGCTTGACAAACCACCAGTTGAAGTCTTTTTCTCTCCATATTCACCGGACACTTTTTTTCTTTTTAGTCATTCAGTATAGTTTTAGGTTATAGTTCACATTTGTTTGTTTTTCGTTTATTAGGAGTGCAAAACATACAAAAAGGTATACACAGAACACACAAACAGCAATAGAACAGAAAAGGAAGCAACAGAAATGTGTATAAATAGCAATGGCAATCATAATAATATTGGTAGTACTTAAAGGGCACTTATTTTACCCCTATTACAAGATGTAAGCCTTTGGTGTTTCAAGAATGTGTCTGTAAAGTTTCAGTTCAAAATACCCATCAGATTATTTATTATAGCCTCCAGTGTCTGAGTACAGTGTCAGTGTCTGTAGCTGTTTCTACATTGTCTTAAAGCCTGTGGCTTTAAATGCAAATGAGCTGCTTCTCCCTGACCACCGTTCCCATGTGCATGTCTGCTTCAGATAAATATATACCTATATATATATATATATATATATATATATATATATATATATATATATATATATATATATATATATATATATAGGGAAAACTGCACTTCTACGTCATGTTGTGGGCCCCAAAATCACTGGGGTATGGATCTTATTTTAACGTCAGGCTTGTTGGGTTTATATCACTCAATACCTGTTATACCTGTTACTCATACACACTTCTGTCAAAAACAGCTTACAAATGTTGATGTTCATCATAGGTGCCCTTTAAATGGTATTTAGCATTCATAGTCAAAACAATATCAATAATAATACTGAAGTATGATGATGATTATGAAAGTAATATTCTGTGATGATGCACTCAAAAAATAAAGTTTGTTGTTTGTTCAAACTACTTACTTAGAATAAGCTAAAACAACACAGCTCTTGAGTGTTTTTTTTCAGACAAATTGTTTTATGTTCAATCCACTTAAATTTGTTGAGACTAAATTAGTTTAATTCCTACATGTTGTCCCAACACAAATCAAATAAATTATAAATTATATATATATATATATATATATATATATATATATATATATATATATATATATATATATATATATATATATATAATAACAATACAAAAAATACACACATACCACATACAGTGCTCAGCATATATAAGTACACCCCTCACAAATTTTAGATTCATATTTTAATAGGAAGCTGTACAATATTATATTTGTACATATACATTAGATTTGTCAGTACTGAAGCAAAATCTGGAGCTTATCTAACAAAATAACTTACGAGAACGGTCCAAAAACTACTACATCCAAATATGTGTTATAGAAAAATATTAAATACACATTTAGAAAAGAGGAAAAATCACAAAAAGCTAAAAAATTAAACATTTTTGTTGAACTTTTGTAGGTTGTATTTTTATTTTTATTTTTCAAATATTTTGCTTGAATTTTAATTGTATTATTTTTCAATTTCTTAATATGTTTGGTGACTAAAATATTATTTTATTACATACATCTATTTAATAATCTGTTTTCTTTAAATGCACCTAAATACATTGTCTGTTTTCACTGAGAAATGGATAAAAATTCATTTTTAAAATAGCGTGTACTCAGTTATGTTGAGCACTGTATATCCTTCTTATAAGCCCTCCATTTAAAAAGAAAAAAGAAATAAAAAAAGCTACCTGGATAAAAAAAAACTAACTTGGACTTGTCACAGCACCTATATATTGCTGCTCTCTGGTGACTTGAAGTGCTTCTTTTGTCCTCATTTGTAAGCTGCTTTTATTAAAAGCATCTGTTAAAGGAATAAATGTAATAATTAGGCGATAGTAGAGTTACCAAAGAAAAAGAAATAAAAAAGGATGAAAAACAGCATCATTTCAAGGCTGATGGATATATTAAAACAAAACAAGCATATCTACAGTTCTCTAATTCACTTTGTGTTCAGTTTAATCAGTCTCCTTCAGATCTTTTTGAGCAATCATGCATATTTTGATGAGGGCCTGTGTAAGCAATTCCTTTGACTGAGAAACATTCAGACTGAGATTCAGAGATGAGTCTCTTTTTTGCTGACAGCTAGTAGCGAATGGCATCAATCAGTCCCAGCAACACCCGCAATTATGTCACTGAATCGTTTCTCATTCCTCTAAGAATAGAGGATTCAAAATGATTCTGCACTGCGCTATTCATGCCCGTTTTAGAGTGCTTTTGTTTTGAATGACAGCTGCATTTGTGACGAGCCGCAATTGCTGGCTGTAAACTGTAATCTGTTAATTATATGGAGCAGCTTTTTAAAAGGTTAAATGACAGGGGCTCGTCCTGCGATACAGAAAGGTTCTTAATTAGTGGGTTCGTGTATGAGTAAAGAACCTGGCTTTTCAGCTCTTGTCAAAAGGATAAACCTTGCCAAGACAGCAACATTATTTTCCCCCATAAAAATACTGTTTTGCAAGTGAATTTTGTCAAAGTGAATAAGTGAGTGGTTATTATTTGGCTAATACACTAGGGTCAGAAAGTTTGAGGTTGCTCAGATTTTTGAAGTATGTTTGTGTGTATGCTTGCTAGGCTTGGATTTATCTGATCAAAAACTAATTAAATGCATAGAATGAATATAATAAAAAATTATAGATACAGTGCTCAGCATGATTGAGTACACCCCATTTTGAACATTAATATTTTTCTCCACTTCTCAGTGAATATAGGCAATGTACTTTGGTGCATTTAAAACAAAAGAGATTTATTGAACATATATATTTATTTATATTTTAGTCTACAAACATATTTTTAAATTGAAAGGTAATAAAATTAAATTCAACTAAATATTGCAAAATAAATTACAACTAAATATTCCTTTTTTTCTTCTCTTGATTTTTCCTCTTTTAAATTTTGTATTTTATAGTTTTCTATAACATAAATTTGGCTGTAGTAGTTTTTGGACCATTATCGTAACTTATTTTGTTAGAAAAGCTCCAGGTTTGGCTTCTGTACTGACTAATTAAATGTACTGTATAGGCACAAATACAGTAATGTATAGCTTTCCTGTAAAAAATATTAATTTAAAAGATAGATTTTGTGGGGGTGTACTGTACTTAGATATGCTGAGCACTTTATATATATATATATATATATTAGGGATTTCGAGTCATTTGATTTTGATTACCGAAACCTGATCCAATACTTCTACAATATAAAAAAGAATGAAGAAGAGGGAAGAAACAGATCCAGGATGATCCTTATTTGTTATTTAATTCACCTTATTTTAACATTCAACTATTCTGTTAATTAACAGAGCACTTCTGTGAGTTAGCTTGTAAAATCAAGTAATAAATAACATCAATTCTTCAAGCTAATTATTATTATTAAAAGATTTATTGATTAAAATGTGCTTTTATTTATTTATTTATTTATTTATGTTTAAATATTAAATTCTGAGCATAACAAGCTTATAGCCTCAAGCAAAATTACCCAAGTCTTTTTTTGTATCATGCATCTGTTCATGGTGATGTCCATATGTTTGAGGTTTGTTTTGATTGAGCATTTCCGTTAAAGTTGGAGGTCATTTATAAAGCATATGTTCTTGTTGATGTCCATATGTTTGTGGTTCGTTTTGATTTGTATAATATATAAATAAATAAAAGATTTTTTTAAATCCCATGTTTCTCACACAATCACACAGCTGTGTAACACATTAAAGGATTTGTCCTTTAATACATAATATAACCGTGTTATCACTATAAGGGAAAAATGCTCAATTCTCACACTATTCTATGATTCAGATTCAAATCTCTTTTTATCTCCTTTTCCCAGCTGCAGCGAGTCCAGAGAAAACAGATGAGTTTCTCCTAGCCAGGTTCAAAGGTAATGGAGTTCGCTACAAAGCCAAGCTGATCGGTGTAGATGATGTGCCTGAAGCAAGAGGAGACAAAATGAGCCAAGACTCTATGATGAAACTGAAGGTCAGTGACAGGTCTAGCATATTTGGTATACATAATAAGTGACTTTCACTAGCCCAAACAAATGACAGAGAAGTGGGATTTACTTGTATGGAGTCTTTGGCAGAAGCTTCAGAATGTGATTTTTAGACTACTCGTTTTACATTTTAAGAGTACAAGTGCTTTCTGACTTAATTAATAAAATACATTGTTTTCCACAAAAGCAACCCGCGGTGCTGATATATAATTGGCTAACCTGGCATTGGACTGGTTAAACGACCAAAACAAAGACGGCTGTACTGGCACCTAATGCCGAGTTTAGACTGCATGATTTTCAAAGTAGTCGGGTCACACTGCATGACTATCTGGGCTAGCATTTTGTCGCTGCTTTGTTTACACTGCAAGATGGATCGGTGACAGGGGCTTTCACATTGCATGACTTTACAATAGGAAGAATCGTCTGCAACTTCATCTAAACTATGTCTCACAACCAAAAACACATAGTATATCTTTTGTTATTGACTACATAATGAGAAAGAAGCCTTTAATGATGTAGAAAATGTACATATTTGCTCACCTGGGTTGAAAGGGAATTAGCAATTTCTCCTCAACTTTCTTTTTTAACTTTCTGTATAAAACGTCAAAGAGACAAGGGCGCTCCGGTCAAACCTCCTCTAGTTTCTCCTCCATTTCTTGGGTTCAAATAAACTGAAAATGAGCGATTTTACCTTCTCCCTCAACCTCCCGCTTGCTTACAGGTACACACACACAAGTGAATGCTGTGATTTTAGGCATTTTTTGGCGTTTTCCCTAAACTTGTCGGCGAGTCACAATCGGGGCTCAAATCATGCAGGCTGAACTCGGCATAACACACACTTTCAAAGCAGAAGATCTGACTTTAGCACTGTTTTTCAGATAAACAAGAATGCTCACTTGGCATGTTTCTTGAATCTATACTTTAGATAAGTCAAAAAACGTACATACAGCACCTTTACATTTAGAAATTTATCTTACTGAAATGTTAACCGTTAAATTCCAGCAACCACATCTACTGTTTTTAGCGTGAATTTTAAAGGTTTGTTTACAGTATATTTATTTAGGAGGACACTGTCCTAGTTAATCATTCATTTGTGTTTGTTCACAGGGCAAGGCGGTGGCAGCTCGCTCTCAGGGCAAGCACAAGCAGAGAGTCTGGGTGAACATCTCTCTTTCGGGAATCACTGTCACTGATGAGAAAACTGGGGTGTGTGTGTGTTTTATTTTTCTTCTCACTGTCAGTTTAAATGATATATCAACATGCAGTATTCATTGTCACTTTTGTCTTCTCCAGGCAGCAATACTGGAGCATGCAGTAAATAAGATCTCCTTCATAGCCCGGGATGTCACTGACAGCAGAGCTTTCGGCTACGTGTGTGGCGCGGAGGGCCAGCACCAGTTCTTCGCTATTAAAACAGCACAGCAGGTACAGAGAGATTTTTTTTACTTTGCAAATCTCTTTACTCCTTCACACACTCCTGCCTTAGGCACACACAGATGCTCACATTCCCTCTCTGTGTAGATCTGTTACACATTTTTCCCAGAAGTGCGTTTTTCTACAAGCATACCCACAAAAACACATTCCTGCCGCTCACAAACATTCACCCATAAACCTGCAGGAGACACGCTTTTAACACGCTGCTTGTGTTTTCACTCAGGCGGAGCCTCTTGTCATTGACCTGAAGGATCTTTTCCAGTTAATCTTCAATATGAAGAAAAAAGAAGTCGAGGGGTCGAAGAAGGTGCGAGACATAAACGATTTTTTTAAATCCATCTAGACTGTGCACACACATACCTGTAATGTTCTGTTAATGCTTAAAATTTCAACAAATGCCAAGTTCAGATTGCAGGATTTTCAAAGTGGTGTTGTCACGGATGTTCTCACACAGCATGACTATCTGGAATGCTGTGTTTACACCGCAAGATGGATCAGCGACAGGGGGTTTCACACTGAATGACTTTAAAATAGGAAGAATCCGCAACAACTTTGTTACGGCACACAAACTACATCTCACGACCAAACACACAAGAAGTGATATGGAAACATTGTGCGGTCACATAGTATATCTTTTGTTATAAAATACATTATAAGAAAGAAGCCTTTAGTGGGATAAAAATTTTACTTATTTTGCTCTCCTGGCTTTTGAAAAGAATAAGCAATTTCTCCTCAACTTTTTTCTGATTCAACCCAGTTGTGGTATTCTTCAGATGAGACGTCAAACAGACACGGCTGCTTCTGCTAAATTTACCATATTTTTTTCTCCGTTTTTTGGGTCCAAATAAACTGAAAATGAACCATTTTAACTTCTCCCTTAACCTCACGCTAGCCTGCAGGTACCCATACTAGTGGATGCTGCTCTCTCATTGGCTGTAGGTGATCGTCAATGTTATTTTCAATCAGACAGCATTTCACACTACGGATTTTGAATCGCTGACAGCTCCAAATATTTAGCATGCCAAATATCTGACGGATGTCTGTGACTCATCTGCAATTATCTCAGATCATGTCTTTGATAGTTCACACTGTGTGGTTGTTACTCATGTGAACGAGTACCGATTGGCCTGTGATTTCAGACACTTGTCAGATTTCTCAAAATCTGTCGGCAAGTTAAAATCGGAGCTAAAGTCATGCAGTCTGAACTCGGCATAAGTATGCTGCCACTTAGAAAATTATGGTTGGCATGATTTTTTTGAAGGAATTTTTTTTTAAAATTAATTTCAAGGTGACACTAAAACATATCAGTGATTTTATTGATAAAAGGTAACAGTAAGACAAATGAATAATTTCATTAATAAAGGGTAACACTAAAGAAAATGAATTTAAAGTAAGAAGTTTTTAAACTTTATGTTAATCAAAAAGCCCTAAAATATGTTTCCATAAAAATGTGTTAGCATTGATAACCATGACAATATTTCTCAATCAGCAAATCAGCTACTAAGAATGATTTCTAAAGGCATTTGTGACACTGAAGGCTGGAGTAATGATGATAAAAATTCGCCATTGAATCCCATAAATTTAAAATAGAAAAATAAATTTGATAATATTTTACAGCGTTAGTTTTAATGTAATTTTGATTTTTAAAAATGCTGTCTTGGTGAATAAAGGAGACTTATTTTACAACTGTATGCTCTTATCATCCTCAAACTATGTAAAGTATATCTACCATCATAAGCTGAATTACATTTTTAGAAGACTATTGCTGCATCCCAATTCGCATACTTATACTACGCCCTAAAAGTATGTACTTTTTTGTGAAGGAAATATATATAGTTTTGGGTGTGTAACAGAAGAGTATGCAAGCTTTGGGACATACTACTTCCTCTTTAACAGATTGTTGTGTTGCTTACCCATGAGCCCTGTCAATCATCTACACATTATCCACATTTCTGTCATGTTTAATTTCCTACCTTATTGATAGGCCCACAAGGAATCTGCGTGCGCAGGATTCCGCAGATTTTTAGCCTATCATTAATTCTATTTATTTTCTTGAGTAAATGTGTGCAAATCTATATTTATTCAGTTTTTAAATTAATTACAGTAATATTACAATAAAAATGTTCATCTGATTTATGTACAATGCCGTTTGTAAAGTAATATTTTCTGTCTTTTAGTAGAGATATTACATGAGAGACTTGCTTTGTTTACCAAATAAAGTGAATCTTATTGGATTTGCGTTTTAAACATTAAATAAAAGTTAATAAGATATTATTTTTTATTTCACATATTAAGGTTTTAGTTATACTCCCAAAATAATTCCGCAGAAATCCGCAGATTTTTACCAAAATTCTCTGCAGAAATAGCAAAAAACGTCCGCAGATTCCGTCTGGCCCTACTTATTGGGGAAGCAGCAGCAGGATAATCTGCCATTCACAAGTATTTCATGCAGAGAAATCTTCTCAGGTCTTTGGATAACTCTGCATTTAGCCTTTAATATCCAAACACGTCTTTATATAAGTTCAGTATTGTTGTCGCAGATGAAATATAACAGAAAACAGTATAAATATTATGTATGTATGATTAAAACTGTCATACAAACATCTTTCCCGAAGCCTCTCTACTTTACATTTAGTCTTGCACGTCCACTATGTGTGTAGTTCATCTACACTTTTCACCCGTGATTGTAGTTCTAATCAAATTCCCGTCCAACCCACAATGTACTGTGGGCAATATCAGCGGTTAGAGTATGGATGCTTCTACACTTACATTTTTTTACCGGAATTTGTAAATCATCCAGGAACCTTTGGCATACTCTTATACTACGATTTGGGACTAACTCTATTTTCAAATGATACTTAGGACGGATAATATGCGAATTGGGACACAGCATCTATGTCACAGGTATCAAATTCAGTTGCTAGAGAGAGCTGCAGCTCTGCACAGTTAAGTTCCAACCCTAATTAAACACACCTGATCAAACTAACTGAGTCCTTCAGGCTTGTTTGAAACCTACAGGTAAGTATGTTGGAGTTGGGTTGGAACTAAATTGTGCAGGGATGTGGCCCCCCTGGAACTGAATTTGACAGCCCTGCTTTATGTGAATTAATCCACATTAGTGCTTGTCTAAAGTGTTATTATCTCACAGACATTACATGTGGACTGTAAACATTACGTCTAGTTTATTATGGATAAATGTCACAGTTTTTGTCACAGTTTTTGTCTGCTTTACTAATCAGATCTTGTGTTCTCTTTAGGATGAAAATAATAAAGTGGTGGAGGTAAGTACTGAGATATTACTTGAAATATTTGTTATATATTAATATCATTCTGTATATTTGAATGACTTTATTTTTAAAATCCTCTTGTTACATGTACTTACTAATAGCAATAAATCAAACAAAACTACACGCAACTAACCATAAAATCCAGATAATATTTACATATAGAGCTGGGGTCTGTTCTTCGTACGTGGATTACTCAATTAGCTGGATTTGGTTATTGATGATTTGACACGATCCAGGATCGTTTCGTTCTTCAAAACTCATCTGAGACTTGTTGTCATAGCAACAGTTCTGGTAGCTCAAACCTGCTAGGGAGCAGGCTCATTTCATATAAACAGTATTATATCGGGTCAGTTCAAGCAAAGATAATACTGAAAGTATGTACCAAATGCTGATATTTTCTTACAGTAGTGATTATATACACTTGGGATGATAGTAAATATATATTTTTAACTATACTGTATATATAAAGTTAAAATATATATATTAAAGGGGTGGTCCAGAATGCTATTTTTAAGGCTTGGTTGTGTTAATAAGATGCAAAGCAATGTGTGCTCATGTTTAACTTGAAGGAAATCGTGTTATTTTTTCATAAATCTGACTTTGATTATACACAGCTACTCAGCTAACATGAAAACGACTGTCATATTTCCTAGTTTCTCTAAAAGGCCCACCCTCAAGTGACTCTGATTGGTCATCATCATAATATGCTGTGATTCGCCGATCGGCTCCACGTCACGCCCTGACAAGCACGCGCGTTTTGTGTAAACAGTCAGTCAGTCAGTCAGTCAACACGTGTCTGTAACGAGTGAAAATGGGATGCGGCTCCTTTAACTGTTTCTGTGCCTTTTAGTGTGTTTATGCGTGTATACGATGAAGTATCTGTAACACGAGAAGCGCATGTGCGCGGGAGAGATTTTTATTGTTCTTTTTCTCTCATGCTCGGATTAAGTTATTTTCTATGGTGACAGAATAAAGCACAAGATGTGAGATGAGACCTTTGTGAGCCTGGATTGATTTGTTTTTGATGTTACACTCCAGTTGGGAAATCATTGCTGTATTTTTTTTAAATCAACGCGTTACAGGACGTCTTTCATGCATATGCGGAATATGCCTGTGTAAGTAACATGAATCGTTCACATATCTTTTGCGACTTTATTGTCCGAGTTGTAAAACGCATAGCAAAGCTGCCTATAGAGAGAAACTCTGCCGTCTCCCACAGAGAGACGCAGGTGCTGGCCAAGAGTGCGTGTATGTGTATGTGTGTGTGTGCGTTTACAGCCGTTTGATAAATATGGATTTGTAACGTTAGCTAAGTCGTTAGCGGTTACCATAATTTCCCGTTGTTTACATCTTTGCTACAACACACCGTTAAAGTTAGACACTGTACATGTCATGATCAATTTTAACAAATAAAAACACTTACAGGTCATGACTCAGAGTTCACAGCGTCTCCTTGCTCCATCTTTGAGGAGATTTTAACTGAATCCAGCACTGAACTGGGAGAGATTCTGGAAGCTGTGTTTTGTCAAATCATGCTTGCTATGTATTTTATAGTTCTCTGGAACATAATTAATATTGAACTGTAAGCACTTCTGTGTTTGGGTCGTGTCATTTGGAAGCCCAACAACAGAAACAGAACAGCTCTGTGGAAACAGCAGGATGGCATTTCTCTCTCTGCAGTAACGTTACAGCGCCTATAGCCACGGCCTTTACCTGCGCAGTGTGGGATGCGCAATAACGAACTTTTGTGATCTCACAGGGGGCGGAAGTATTTTTTGTAGTCCCCAAAATTCGTTAATTGTAGGCGTTGCTAAGCTAACTCTGTACAAATCAAGGTCTCCCTTTGCATTAAACTTTGAATATTTTACATTCAGAGATGCTGTTTATGTTCACACAGCTACATTACACATCAACTGAAGTTTAAAATATAATATCGTAGTGGACCACCCCTTTAATAAAACTTACGCAATCTGCACTCCGAAATAAAAGCACAAAGGCTGGCACCTGGTGATTCAAAAAGAACATTTATTGATATGAACTTTTTACCTACAAACGCGTACATGCACAATATTCCACTTTTTTTTTTTTTTAAAAAAAGGACAATAATTTATGCAGTCATGCACGTGTTTTGACCGCAAATATGCCGATGATCTGATGCTTCGCAAGAGTTGCTGACACCTTTAGCGATATCAAATGCTTTTTTGATGCAAAATCAATTTATACAGTTTCTCCTTACGCCGATTAACACTACTTGAGAAGGCTACTATAATAAAGAAAATCTTCTCTAAATGTAGAACTAAATACATTGATATGCAGTAAACAGATGATGAAAACAGTTGACAAATGAAAGTGTAAAGCCTGCAGCTCAAAAACAGAGGTGGAAAGCTATTGCGTGTCATATGAAAAAAAACGTTTACTAGTAATTTGATGTAATTTTGCTCACATGAATTATTGAATATTAATTAGATGACGTCACTACGCTGCTGTGCCATCAGCATATCATTGCCATGCTGATCATGATTTCGAGGATCGATAGATCTGTCCTTCACAACACACGCAGAGATCTCAGATCAGTTCATCCAGACATTTTAATCTGATTCACAAACTTGTTTGAAGAACTAAATTAGCAGGAGATCAGTTATCAAGATTTAAAGATCCTGTATCTGCCAAATCATCTTAGATCATTTAAGCGAGGTACAAAGAACAGATTCCTAAAGTTTTTTTGTGGAAATTGGTCAAAATAACGAAGATTTTCATTTGTTGTAATTGAAAATTAAGGTTATTGCATCAAGTATTTATCTCTTAAAGGGATAGTACACCCAAAAATTTAAATTTCCTTATCATTCTGTAGTAAAACTGTTTTTCTATTAATGGGGAAAATTATTAAGGTAGTCTTTTGTGTTCAACAGAAGAACGAAACTGTTCTTTTTTTTGTGTAGATTAAATAAATCATCAGAAGTTTCATATTTGTGTAAACTAGCCCTTTAAATCTTATGAAGTTAAAAAAATACTATAAAACTGCATGCAACAATGGCATTAATCAAAAGCTGTAGAGTTATACTGTAACAAGAGCAAATTAAAATAAAGTCTATCCACATATAATCACAGTCTTTTTCAATCCTACCTCAACAGAACGGCAGCGAAGGCTCGCACAATGACAGAAAAGTGAGTATTATTTATTGTGGTGTGGTTTAAATTCACCAAATGCTCCGGCAAATACTGCAGCAGAGCAGCGAGAGGCTTGTTTTGTATTAGCGTCCTCTAACCTGAAGCCAGTGTTAGTTGTGTCTCTCTGGCCCAGTTCCTAAAGCCCCCCGCTGAGTTGTCTTCATGCTGTTGCTCACCATTTGTACCCTGCACCTAAACTAGTCTCCTCGGGGGGTGAAAGCTAATGAAGTTAGCAGACAGGAAATAACAGAGACACATAACATAGCAGCTCTCTCTCCATTCCTTTCACTCACAGTCTATGAACACACCAAAACAACGCCATTCTCCTCATTCTCTCCGCTGCTCATTTCCTCCTATTCATCTGGCTGAAGCATGAATGGCTCTTCTCTTAGGTGTTTTGGTTACTCTGACTCTGTTTGGCTTCCAGAATCTGGTCTGAATGTTGTTGTTTTTTTTTTGTTTTTGTTGATGCTGTGTTGCAGGGCGTTGAACAGCTGGACTTGTTTGGAGACATGTCGACCCCACCAGACTTAAACTCTCCCTCGGTAAGTAACTGTTGGGCAAGAATGAGTCACACGTGTTGATGCAGAAATACACACATTCTGACAGAATGAGACACTCTTTTTCCACATGTTGCTTATTAATGGTTTGTTTGGACGACCGCTTTATTAAGGGAATAGTTCACCCAAAATATTGGTTTCTTTCTTCTATCGAACACAAAGTTAGATATTTTGAAGAATGCTAAGGAAAAAAAGCCATTGACTTCCATAGTATGGTTTGTTTCTCCTATGGTGTCAATAGCTGCACATTCTAACGTTCATCAGAATATCTTGTGTTGTGTTCAACAGAAGATTAAAACTCATTATAGTGAATAAATAGTGATGAAAGGTTAATTTTTGGGTAAACTATTCCTTTAATGCAGGAAATATACATTGATATTTTTGTTAGTTCTAACTATGCAAATCTGCACACCAGCTTATTTACTAACACAAGACATTACGCCATTGGACAGAGACTAGTGGCGTTCAGACGACTCTCATATCCTGTTATAGTCCTTGTTTAGTCTCTGGTGCTTGATTGACCTCAAATGCAGAAAATACCGTCACGGGGAGTTGAAGGCCTGGGCTTCGGCCAACCAAAACAACAAGCACTAAAACCTCAACAAGGCTCAGTTGTTTGTAGACGCTGCTCTGTGGAGGAGCTTTATAGCCATATGAGGCCATTTCGTGCAGGGCGATGAATTCTGAAGTCTTTTAAAGTGTTAAAGGCACAGTATGTATGATTATTTACTATCAACAACAACAAAACTTTAAAGCAGTCTTTGCTATTTTACTGACTTAACATACATACATGCATATATTATCCCAAATGTTTGGAAGAATGTTTTAATATAGAGAAATAATACATTTTTATAGTGACAAGACATATTCATACGGTAAAAGAAAATTTGACAGCACTTTATCATTTATAAATTTAAATACCTTCCACCTTAAATGTTTTTGCATACCGACAATGTCAGAAAATATGAGGTACTGTTTCTGGGTATATTGAACAAAATGAACATTTGACATCCATGTCTAACTCTATCAAGCCTCTTCAGCTGCTCCAGAACGCAGAAGCACGAGTGGTCTTTAATGAACCTAAAAGAGCACATGTCACTCCGCTGCTCATCCGTTTGCACTGGCTGCCAGTTGCTGCTCGCATCAAATTCAAAGCTCTGATGTTTGCCTACAAAGCGACTTCTGGCTTTGCTCCTTCTTATCTGCTCTCAGTTCTGCAGATCTATGTGCCCTGCAGAAACTTGCGTTCTGTGAATGAACGTCGCCTCGTGGTTCCATCCCAAAGAGGGAAGAAATCACTTTCCCGAACGCTCACGTTCAATCTGCCCAGTTGGTGGAATAAACTCCCAAACTGCATCAGAACGGCAGAGTCACTCGCTGTTTACAAGAAACGACTAAAAACTGAACTATTTAGTCTCCACTTTACTTCCTAATCTGCAATTGCCTCTCTGGATATCACACTAACTGTACTCAAAAAAAAAAAAAAAAAAAAAATTTACTAATACTTTCCTTCTTAGACTTTACAGACCTGAAACTTGCCTACAGCACTTATTCATTGTTGCTCTTATAGTTGTGTAAATTGCTTCCTTGTCCTCGTTTGTAAGTGGCTTTGGATAAAAGCGTCTGCTAAATGACTAAATGTAAATGTAAATGTCTTCCGTTATTCTGATTTAAAAAATGCTTAACAGTAAAATTTGTGTTGTATCTTACATAAGATTGCTTTGATTTTATTTGTAATTAGATATTTATTTGGTAATACCCAAACTTTCCTCCAATCAATATTTTGAATAAACTCAGACCAATAGAAAATAACATATGGTTTACTAACCAATGGACTAAATGCACAGCTAGAGTTTTAAAAGGCAATAATAAACATCCAGTGAAAGCTTAAAGCGACTATTTTCAATTCCACAAGGTTGTTTTAACAGCATTGATGTTGTAATGTAATTACAATACATTCAGTTAAATAGACTTAAGCATTCATTTAGTTGTTCAAGCGCAAAACGAGATGAAACCACAACATTGTAACCACTAGTGCCGTCAGTAGCAAGAGGTTAGCACAGAAATCCTATTGAAAATACTGGGATAAAATAAACGGTCGTATTTTAAAGACATGGCAGGGGGAAATGAAATTTAATGCAGTGCTTCTTGTCCAATATGAGACCCACACTGTTAAAAATTGTCCCGTTAAAAAACAGGAAAATACTGGCAGCTGCAGTTGCCAGCAATGTACTGTTATTTTACAGTATGTTGTTGTAAAAATACATGGACTACATTGATTTACACAATACTCAAGTGAACTCATTTTGCTCACTGAAAGCAACTGCCTCAACTTGGTCAACTGCTGAATGAGTTTATGAAGTAATGTGCTATATATGCTTAGAAGCATACTTATAATGATAACTTATTTTAGTTAATTAAAAAAGTTTGGTTTAACTCTAATGTCTTATTTTTCACAACAGCACACATACATGTAAATCTGGAATCACCAGAGAGATTCTGACTGCATCAGCAACTAAACAGCCGCTGTCTTTAAATAGAGAAACATGCAGAATAACATCAGCAGTTCATTGTTCATCTTTAACTGATACACTGGCTCTACTCTCCTCCACAACGGTGACACACAGAAGAAATTAGCTTCAGGTTTTACAGTAAAATACTGTTTTTTCCTTGATTTAACGGTAATCTACTGGCAGCTGTGGTTGCCAGCAATATACTGTTTTTTAACAGTCTACTTCCGTTGTGTAAATTAACAGTATATTACTGTTAAAATACATTTTTACACTGTGTTTTTACCTCTCACACCTTTAACCCTTTAAACCCCAGAGCATATACTTCAGTTTTTATTGAAGTGTCCACACTACTGAGTGTTCAAGAAACATGTAGCAAAGCTGAAGTAAATTCATTAATTAACTGACTAATTAAATGATAATTGAGGATTAACAATGAACAAATGAAGAAATACTGAAGGAAAAAACAAGAACAGAACATACAAAACTTTAGTCACAGCTTTATAATGAAATAACCTGAAGAACAACAAATGATTAAATCATTTAAATGATCAGCGGATGATTAAACAACTCTACAAACATCATCACCAGCTACACTTATTACTTAATACATGTATTTTTGTATAACATCTACTAAAGTTCTTCTTGAGAAAAAGTTAAAGTTTTACGTCACCATCATGGAGAACAGAGTTTGCTTTAGTTGGGCTCTTAGCCCTGACATTTATATATCTTAGCTGCTGCAATTGTTAAGAATTTTGCTTAAAAAGCTCCTTTGTTGTGGCAAGCCAGCCAAAAACCTAAATCTGAAAAAGTAAGATCTGGTGATGTTCAAGTTGTTATTAAATGGCAGAGTCTGTTCTCATTTAGTATAATAAAATTTACTGCTCCCATTCAATGGTAAATCTATTGTTTTACATTATGTATATATATGGCAATGATTTCTGGAAGTTTTAAGAATATCTTGGACAATAACACTGCTCTATGGTGTCTATCGCACTCAAAGAGACATCAATAATCAGCAGATGAACCTCAATAATGGTGACGACTAACAAAATTAACAGTTTAACTCACAAACAGGCAACTGAAAGTCTAAACATAAACAACAGCAGAATCAAACACAAGTAAAGAAAACTCTTAGACCGTTATACAACATTTTTTTATACCGCAATGCATGCTGGGATATTTGTACCATGCCACTCCCAGCATGCATTGCGGCATGAAACATTTGAGATGTTACCATTGTTGAGATACAAGGTCAGATTCATGAGGTCTGAGTGTGTATTTGTCATAACTGGACTGTTTTTGTATGTTATTTCTTAACTGTTAAGTAATTACGGAGGTATCTTTCTGTTTTCACTTCTCATTAATTTAATTAATACCTGTAACTAAACATAAAATCTATTGCATGAGACCCTTCTTCCAAATTTATACCAAAATATTTATCAGAACTAATTTCAGACAAATATATTTCTCTATTTATTGACTTTCCAACTTGACTGATATAATACAAGCATTTTGTTAACTCTTTATTATAGTGATTGGAGAGTCTGAATTAATCAGTTCAAGGGTGAAGAGCCCAACTAAACCAGCCCCTCACTCCATTACGGTGACACAAAAAACACCTTAATTTCTGTTGGATCTCAATGTGAATAGTATGGAAGTCAAATCAGTCAGTAATAAGTGTGTCTGCTGTTGTTTGTGGAGTTGTTTAATGATCCTCTGCTGAGACTGAAGCTGTTTTATTTTATTTGATTTTATTTAATGTTGTAACTCAAGTCACTGTTTGTGTTTCTTGTTTATTTTCTTCAGTAATTGTAATTATTAACAGCAGGTGTTCATCAGTGTCTGAATTCACTCATTAGTGTTCATTAAAACAGTCAGGTGAACTATATTAGTTAACTAGTGTATGAAATAGTGAACAAGGACACAAAGCGTGATTTCAAACACAGACTTCAAAACATCGAATCTGAACTCTGTTAGCTCACAGTTTTCTGCAGTTGGTTACTTTCTCGAAAACAAAAATGTTACCCAGAAAGCACTGTTTTTAACAGAATATTACTGTTTTAGTGAAAAAACATTATTTTACCGTAGAATCTGACTGTTTTTTAACAGCAATTTTTTACAGTGCACTTTATGCTGTAATTCTAACAGGCAGTGAAGATTGCTGAAATCAAATCTTAAACGTGACAATTTTGTAATGGAATGACAGTTCACAGGAAGCCCCTGGGCTGCCTGGCTAAAAAAATTAAACCTCTGTGTGCATATAGCCCATTATTTTTGAAATAGTTGATGTTCTTATTATTATTCTTTTTGCTAAATGAAAAAAAAAAACTTTGCCACAGAAAGTATCAGCAGGGTAAAGAAAAGTTGCATTCTATGAATATGAAAGACCTCAATTTGTGACACGAAATATGTCCTTGTGTTGCCATGCTAATGACGTAGCATACTCTTGATGTCCGTTTTGGTTTTATAGAAAACACCAAAGAGTCTTTGAAAAGACCAAAGAGACTGCTCAAAGCTGCCAGGAGAACAGAAAACAGTGGACAGTAGCAAAATAGAAGCTTCATCAGCATTTACTTGTGTTCTCATTCCACGTCGATGGCTTTCAGCTTGACTCTTCCATCATAATAAGTTTAAAATACATTAGCACATACATGAAATGTAATAAAGACCACAACTCCTATGATTCCACACTCAGTCATGGCGTTGTCAAACTATCCCTTTGTTGTGAACACACGTCCTCTAGTGGCCAACATTAAATATTGTGCCTTTAAACAGAGCTTCAGCAGAAAGCATGAATCAAATAATTAGTGTTTACTTGAATTGTTAACGTTTTACAAGTGGTGTTGATGCAGAGTTTGTTTTGTTCCTCTAACTAAACATTGCAATGACTGTGAGAGAGCAAGTTCAGGTAATGTGTGCATATGTTGTGAAGTTCATTCATTTCTAGTCATTCATTATTCCACCCATGCTTTGTTGCTAGCATATATGCGGAGAATTGAGAGGTATAAGGGACAAATTTGTACCAATAAAATGCTTAAGTATGTGAATATCTTTAGATTTTATCATTTAAAAGGGTTTAAATTTTATATTTATCAGATAAATTGGCTGCAATACCAAACAATTCCACTAGATGTCTACAGCTCCATTGCTGTCCATGAAGATGCACTTATTTTCATTCATGGTTTGAGTTTTTCCTTGTTTTTCACAATATTTATGACGTGTAATTGGTCATCATATGGCAGTATTTAATTTGATTTCAACCTGGTTGAATTTGTATTATATTTGCAAAGTGATTATACCGTTTTTTTTCTTCTTTTAAATAGAACAAACACTCAAAAAAAGTTTGCTTTTTTTACACTACTTATTCAAAATAAGCTAAATCAACACAATTCCTGAGTTTTTTGGACGACCTAATCGTATGTTCAATCCACTTAAATTTGTAAGCCAGCTAAATTTTTTTTAATGTTGTCGCAACACAAATTGATTGTGTGGAACCCTTTTTTTTTTTTTTTTTTGCAGTAAATGTGTCCTTACAGAAATCTGATATATGGTCATAAATTAACCTAAATTAAAGAAAAATATAAAGTATAGTACACAATTACATTTGTAATTGTAATAGTTAAAATATATATGTAAATGTAAATTTTTGCAATATTTTGAAACATTCTGTATGGTGTATGACGTATATGTTTATGTATGAAATCCAAAATTTGGATTGTATAAAACTTGTATGTCATATATTTGCTTATTAATTTGCATATTGCATTATATCAGGTTTCTATATGGAAAATGTTTTGTACTTTTCATAATATGAACAGCAGTTTTTAATGATTTTGTATAACTTTACATGTGCACCAGTATTTTAAAGTACAGATCTGAACTTATTAACTCCAATAAGAACTTTGTTTAAACATTTAATTGCTCTCGCTTTGAGATACTTAATAAAAATCTTCACATATGAAATCACATTAAAGCTAGAGTCTTTAAGCCAGGGGTGTCTAGTCCTATCCATTGAGGGCCAGGCATACATGTGATTAAAATCTACTGGACAGTGGCTCTCCAGTCTGGACACCACAGTTTCAAGCTTTCAACCGATGTATATACAGTGTTTTGATTGCTTTAGAGTTACTCTAAAAGAACTAATTGATGAAAAACATTGTTCTCAAATGTTGAAATGACTAAAATAAACAACATACTGTATACTTTTAATACAAATTGCAACTGTTTTCTCTTAAAAACAGAATAAATCAGGATCACATGCTGTAGATAGGAAAGCTGGCAGCCCATATTGTTTGCATTTATGATTTAAAGGGATAGTTCACAAAAAAAAGCATGCCATCATTCACTGATTTTCCACTTGCTCCAGACCTGTTTGAGTTTCTAAAGAATGTTAAAAAAACAGCCATTGACCACCACAGTATATTTGTTCTTAATATGGATGTCAAAGGTTGTTTTTTCCAGCATTCCTCAGAATATCTGGTATTGTGTTTCGAAGAAGGAACAAATTCATAAAGGTTTAAAAGAAATTTAATTTCAGTTTCTGAATGAACTATCCCTTTAACTACACAACATCTACACATGGAACAAGCTGACCATACTTCATGCATGATTACATCTTTATACACAAAATATACATCGTGTTTATTTTTTTACATAAGCTTATCATTGATCCTCCTCTTTCCCTCTTCTCTTCCAACTAGTCAGAGGACATCCTACTGATGGATCTGTCCACCGAGATAGACAGCAATCAGAACTGCGTTAAAGGAAACCCGTTCACCTCGTCTTGTGTCTCCAGAGCCCAGTCCAGCCTCACGCCTGAGAACCCCTTCACCTCTCAGCTCAGCTTCTTCCCCACCCCGATCCATGACCCGTTCAGCGACGACCCATTTTACAAAAAAAGCGACGACCAATCGATCCGGGATGACCCCGCCAACCACAGCCCTAATAGCTTGTTCAATGGTGGCCCTAAAAATGGTGACTCGGACTATTTGGGCCAGCAGTTTGACCAGCTCTCCAACAGAACGGTCATTCAGGCCCTCAGTAATGGCCAGTGGCCGGTAGACGGCAGAGCTGGAGAAACCACTAACTGGACTCAAAACACCGTCCCGGTTCAAGAGCAGAATGGACATGGGAACGGGATGCCAAATCCGTTTGTGGAGAAGATGCAGAATGGAGTGAAGCATGAGAACGGAGGGACTGAAGAGTCGCATGTCCATCAGGCCAAGGATTCTGTCATTATTTGCCCTCCACCACTCAATATGAAGGCTGGAAGAGGCAGGAGGAGTGTAAAGGTGAGGTGGCAATCAATCGTGATATGCCTCTTTCATGTTCTAATGTCTTTTTACTGCTTTCTTACTTTAAAACCTGCTTATCAGTTTATAGGAACACTCCACTTTTTTGAAAATAGGCTCATTTTACTACTTACTTAGAGTTATACAATTGATTTTCACCATTTTTTTATTATTGGTTCCCAGGTTCTGCTGATTACATTTTCTGAATTTTCATTGCCGCACTTATGCCAATTGTAATCGTGTAATTCTTTTGGAATTAAGTGAGCTCCAACTTGGCCACAAGCTGGTCCAGTTTTATTATTTTTAAATCCATTTAGCAGATCTCCTGGTCTAGCAGGAGCACGTTTAGCTTAGCATAAATCATTGAATCTGATTAGACCATTAGCATTTCACTCAAATAAGAGAAAGTTTTTATAGTTTTTCTATTTAAAGCTTTACAACATGTTCTAAAACCAAAAGAAAATTAAGAGTCAATATTTTCTAGGAACTCTACTCTTATTTTGGCATCAAGGAACTTTGCTGTTATACCTAGGGCTACAGCAGGCACAATGATTTACACCAGTTCTGAATCTGTATAGTAACAATTTTTTGAGCAAGATGCTAATGGTCTAATTCTATTCAGTGATTTATGCTAAGCTAAGCTAAAAGAACTCCTGTCAGACAATGTGACATGAAATTATGAAATTTAGTCTACTTTCAAAAAAAGTGTTCCTTTAAGACAGGGGTGTCCACACTCAGTCCTGGAGGGCCGGTGTCTTGCAAAGTTTAGTTCCAACCCCAATCAGACACACCTGAGCTGGCTAATCGAGCTCTAACTAGGCTTTCTAGAATCTAGAAGCATCCTTGCAGGTGTGTTGAAGCAAATTGGAGATTAAATCTTCAGGACACCGGCCCCTCAGGACCGAGTTTGGACACCCCTGCTTTAAGATCTCTAATTTTATTATACCTGACACCACTTTTTGGTAATGTTGTTTGCCTGAATTTTTAATGCTTCAGTGAGTTGTGCTTGTAAGGTAAGAATTTATTTTTCCACCACATTAGGCTACATGTGTTTGTGTGGATGTATATATACAGTATGCATGAAATGTCTCATTTTTTTATGTCTAGATTTCTGATCTATAGTTATGTGTTTTAGAAAAAATAAAAATATTTGTTTTATTCTTTATAGAATTTTTTTTGTCATTTAAAGCAATATTTTAACAATAACAGTATAATACAACTTTAAATTAATTTCTTTACAATGATTAATTTAGTTGTTTATTTTATTTTTTTTTAATAATGACTCTCATTCATTCTTAACTTGTTTTATCAATATTTTACATACCAAAACTTATTTTTTGGGATAGCAGATATTAAAGGACTCTTATTCAAAGGACTTAAAAATATTAATTAATTGTAGTCAGCAAGACATATTCAAGATATAATCAAATTTATTATGATCACTTATATTTATTTATTGCTTATTTACATAAACATATTTTTTACACTGCTGTATTATTTAAAACATTAAAGTAGACACTTAAGCCAATTTTTATGAAAATATTTTTTTAAGATAATTGATTTATATTGCAACGAAAGACAGTGTAATAATTTAAATGTTATGTAATGTGCTCTTATATGGTGTATATATTGTTTGTCATTGGCAGAGTTTTGTTTCTTGTTTTTTACTAGAAAAACTATAACATTGTAAAAAAATATATTCCATTTTTAGAATAACTGTAATGGAAACTTGATTTTAAGCAGTTAATACTCCATCTTGACTGTCACATCTTAAACACTGATAATTTTCCTGTGAAAACTTTTGGTTTTTTGATGAATAGAAAAAAATCTGCATTGATTTGAAATAGAAATACATTTACAGTCACGATCAGAATTATTAGCCCTCTTTTGATTTTTATTATTTTTTCTATTTTAAATATTTCCCAAATTATGTTTAACAGAGCAAGGAAATTTGTTTTATTTTGGCTAGAATAAAAGCAGTTTTTAATTTTTTAAACACCATTTTAAGGTCAAAATTATTAGCCCCTTTAAGCAATATAATTTTTCGATAGTCTACAGAACAAACCATCATTATGCAATTACTTGCCCAATTCCCCTAACATGCCTAGTTAACCTAATTAACCTAGTTAAGCCTTTAAATGTGACTTTAAGCTGTATAGAAGTGTCTTGAAAAATATCTAATCAAATATTATCTACTGTCATCATGACAAAGATAAAATAAATCAGTTATTAGAGATGAGTTATTACAACTATTATGTTTAAAAATGTGTTGAAAAAAATGTGTTAAAAATGTACTCTCTGTTAAAAAGAAATTGGAGAAAAAAAATCAACAGAGGGGCCAATAATTCAGGGGGGCTAATAATTCTGATTGCAACTGTATACATTATTATCATTATTTGTTCCCTGTTCTGTATATGTAGGTTGTGAACTTGTGTAACTCTTTTTATCTCTTTTATAGTCTCCTTCAAATGAAAACCTTGGAATGGCTTCATTTGTTTCAGCAGAGCAGTCTGAATCTCCACCTCCTCCACCTGAGAGCTGCTCCGTCAGCAGTCTGTTCAGCAGGAGCCCTTCCTCCACAGACACACTCACAGATCTGGGTGAGAAACTCCACACAATTAACAAATAACCTGACATTTGTGAGCTTCTATTAAAAGCTTTGTCAAAATGTCAGTGATTCTTATTCAAATGAAAGTCAAGTGAGAGTCTGAAAGGAGTGTTGTTTTGTTTATATATTGCTTTTGCTCCAGCAGTATGGAATGATTTTTGTGCCAATAAGAATGAACGTAACTTTATAAAACTGAACGTAACTTTCCAAGAAACGATCAAAAATATGGCACTGCAAAAGAAGAAAATCACAATGAAAACGAAAAAATGAACTCAGTCGAACGAATTTAACATGTTCTTCAAATATGCTTTATTCTTTGTTAATGATTTTCAAACAATCGTTTTCGCGAATCATGGATTTTGAATGCGTTGCCACAGCTTTCGCTTACGCTTCGCAAATTTTCGTTTGCTGTTTTGGCACAAACTTCTCGTGGGGGCGGGCTTAACAGCGATCTACTCTGATTGGCTAATGAGATTTTGATGGACAGTTGCTCTCTAACCTGGAAGCACAGACGGTGACGTCAGTGGAGCGCATATCAAAAAGTTGTTGCGGTGTGCAATACGTCGTGCCTTATGTTAAGTATTATTGTTAGTATTTTACCTACGGTCGGCTCTTTCTAAAGATGGCCTCCCGGGAGAGACACGGAGCGGCATCATCTTCCACCTCATCTTGTCCCTCAGGGCAGCTTGAAGTAAGTTCGTGTTGCTAAAGTAACGTTTATCAATAACATCAATCAAAGTTTTATTCATGTACAGTGTGCAACAGTTCTGGCTTTATTTAACACTTTTATTGTTTAAATGTTGTGTTTAGAAACGTTATACATTTTTGGTTTATTGTGTAAAAACGTTTAATGTATATCAAGATACAGTGTATATATATCAATATAAAATAGATATTGCCTTCTTTTCTTTTAATGCTACTTGGTCAGGACCAAAGACAAGTCACTTTTCCAGGTAGGCACTGAATGATTGCATATAAATTCTAAAGCTTACAGATCTACAGGAGCTACTCTGAAAATCAGTGGCTGCTGTCAACTGTTTGGTTTGCAACATTCTTAAAAATATCTTCTTTAATGATCAGCAGAAGAGAGAAATCTAGGACAAGGCTTAAGTCTTGTCTGAGAAACTGGGCAAAATAGATATGTGATACTGCTTGCAACACTGGTCTGTACAATGTATGTTTAAAGTGATTTTTTTTTTAAATATATATTTAATTGTTTCTCCTGAACCCCTTATTTTATAGATCCTATACCTTGATGCTGCTGAAAACAACAAGGCATCAATTGCTTTCTTGTTTGTCCTGGAGGGTGTTCACAAACATGGGTAGCCTTCAAGGTAAGAACACTGTTAATACGTGTCGTTTATGTAATATCTTAAAGTCTTTTTTAGAGTCAACATCTTAACTACATGTTGTGTGATATCAGTGTGTGGTACTATATTTGCACAAAGCAAATTATGTGTTATGATATATTGAATTCTTCACAAATGTGAGTTATGGTATTTTTAAATCTTGCAGTGTTCTGTCTTTACGAAAAGTGACCTATGTTTATACATTTTCAAAGCTAATGACTTTAATATACAGTTGCAAATATTTCTTTGAATGAAACCTAACTTTGAATGAATATTCCCTAAATCTTTTCCAGAGTACTTGGTGACCAGGGAGTTGAAAACGTGGACATTGCGCGTTGCATGTTCTCAGTACGAGGAACTGGTCGAGGTAGCTTCAATGCCGGAAAAAGCGTTCACAATCAAAGGTGCTATTTTAAGTTATTTTTGTTGGGGTCCAACAACCACTAGCTTGGTAACATTTTTTCGAACATGTTAATGTGTGGCATTACATTATACCATAGTCTGTTTGCTGTTTTGTAAGCATACTAAACAAAAATCTTTTTTTTTTTTTTTTTAAATTGAGCGCCTGTGGTGTGATGTTTGGTCAGCTGTCACTTCAAAATATTATGAAATCCTGCATGCAATGGTAGATGGAGTGCTTGATTTATCAAATGAATTACACCTCTTTTGTGTGCACTACACAATTCTTCCATGGCTGAAATCTGACCTGAAGTGCTTCATTATGAGCTGGAACAACCATCCTATCATAACCGAAAGATATCTTTTACCAAATCAGCTTTGAAACATAGGAAAGTTGCAGACACCAGTGATTGAGCCAGAAGTAGAGGTATTCTTTATTCATCTCTAAAATTCTTAATTTTATCACCCTTATTTCTTAAAGATTTAAAATTATTTTTGTGTGGATCTTAAGGTATTTAATGTAATGTCTTTATTATAACAAAAGCGCTTCAGAAGCATGGTAGCAGACTTCTTTGTAAATGTGCCTAACTTAATCACTTGTGATGGGTATAAATTGAAAACACATCTTAATACCAGATTTGAACATAAAAAGTTATTGACATTATTTCAAAAGAGCTGAAAACTTTCACCTACTTAATGTTTCTTTGATTTTGCAGACATTGGAGCGTTTGTGTCAACAGCAAACTGATACTGACCCAGAAGATGGTGTGGTGGTTCCAGAGATCCAATGCCCTATATCTAAACAGAGCCTTGCTGTTCTGCAGAGATTTTTTGATGCCTTGACATCATCATTGAATAACTGAGAGCTCTACTGTATGTCCAGTCACTTGATATTATTCAAAGACTGCTTTAAAATTTCACCTCTAACAAGGAAAACATACAAAAACACATGTAGTTCCATCAGAAATTGAATTTACAGGAATACACATGGAACATTTAGGCAAAACTAACTTCATAATGTTGTGCAAATTTAAAACCTTGCCAAGAAAAACTTACAAAAACACATGTAGTTCCATCAGAAATTTAATTCACAAGAATACACATGTAATGTTTATGTAAAACTAATGTCATAGCAATGTTTTGAAATCTTATAAGCCACTCTTTCAAAAATAAAACAAATGACAAAGTATAGTGTCTCTCTCTTGTTTCAAAAGCTCCAAGTCCAATTAAAAGGACAAAGAAGTGTATTAACAAATCTGTTCTAAACCCTGTAAAAGTAAGCTCCCTATTGCACTGCAATTCTCATGTTTTCTTTAAATTGATTTAAACTTGTTGAATGTGCAGTGGGAAATGTGATTGTCTGGGTCCATGCACTGTCCACAGGGTAGCAAATTCTGTGGTCTGGCATACGTTCCATGCATGTATGGTCAAATAGAACAGTGATTTTAAAAGCTTGTCTTTCTGAAAGAAGCAAATGCACGTGTGCTTGACCAGACAGCCACTGCATTACTTTTGACACACAAAGTGCCTCCTCATCCTCAGGATCTCCATCTAGGGCAGTAAATATACATTATGTATTTAAGCTCTAAAAATAGGCATCTGCCTTTCAAACGTTTTGGAATAACAACAAACTTACCTTCGAGTTCCATAAGAAAATCCTGGAAGTTATTCAAGATTTGCATTTCTTTGCTGTGCTTTAGAGTGCCACTCTCACTCATTTTGGGGTCAAGATGTGATACGATGTATTGAGAGTCCACCTGGAAAAACAAGAAAGATGACAAGGTAAGTTAAGAGGGGGAAAAAAAGACATCATCTAAAGAGCATTCTGTATGCAGCACACAAAAATTTTCTCTAACACAGTGGTTCTCAATTCCAGTTTTGCAAACCCACTGCACATTTTGTATGTTTCTTTCATCTGACACACTTGGTTTAGTTCACAGAGTGGTCTTATAACAAGCTCATGACCTGAATCAGGTGCGTTAAAAAAAAAATACAAATTGTGCTGGGCTGTGTTTTCCAAAAGTATTACAAAACCAAGTTGATCATAGCTCCATTGGTAACATTGGTTCTACTATCAACTTACAATGCTTTTGGGAAACGCAGCCCAGAGCAGTTGGCCCCCAAGACCTGAAATGAGAACCACTGCTTCAACATTTTTTACAAAAGTTATGCACCTCACCTGATCATTGCCACCTTCAAAAACAAAGTGGCTACGGCAAACTTCTTTGTTCTTCTCCATGATATCCACTAGACGGTAAAGTTGGAGACCCTCACGGAGCTGTTGAAGCATACGAGTCCGTCGAGCAGCGGCATGCATTGCAATTGCTTTTTATAGAACAGAAACAAACATTGTTTTACAATCTCATTATTAAACTCACATTGTTTAGAATATAGACTTAAGGAATGCATAACATGATACCTCTTTATATTCTCCTTGTTTTGCTCATTTATAGGGCCAGTGTAGCCACAGCTCATTATTTGATCACTGTATTTCGACAGGTCTGAAGTCTCCTCGATCTAGACAGAATTGAAGATTTTCTTGAAACATTTATAAAAGGTACATGGCAATAGAAATAAACTACAGAATTACAAATTGTTTTCAGATATACCAATTTAATCAGTGGTGAAAATGCCATGTTATTATCCCATTATTATTATTATTATCAATAAATTCCATGTTATTAGTATCATTATCCACCTTGATGTTTTCAAGGTTTCCACTTGGAAGGTAATTGTAACACCATTCTTGTAAATATCGTGGAGCTGGACCACCTTGTGTGAGACTTACGGCAAATATTTCCCCAGCAACTCTATAACAATAACAAGAAAATTGTGAAATACAATTTCTACAGTCAGCAAGTACATTTTCAACTCATTGTAGGAGCCATTTCAATTCTTTGTTATTTGTGTTGTATGGCACTAGAGAGTGTAATACAACAACTAAGCTAAGATAATGTTAAAAAAACACCTTTATTATTTATCTACAGAAAAAAAGGTACTTAAACTTTGCAGACAAACAGGACACTTTGCCTCTGTTGATTAAAAAGCATGTAATGATGTAAAATACACATTAAAAGAAGTAAGAATAATGTAAAGCCAAGCAACTAGGTGATTACCTTTTCTTCAGTAGCAGGAGATAAATCGGGTGAATCAGGAGGTAGATTGGACAGCTAGAAATAGACAAAACATTTGACATATTTTCACATGAATCTTACAGAATACTCATTAGGTTTATTTAAACAATTTATCTTACCTCTGGTTCTGAGTCTGAAAGTTTCTCATATTCAGCAGTGTTGCATTCCTTCACGTGCAGAGCAAGAATCTGTAGTGGCATAGATTTAAAGCATTTCTTACATTCAGCTTTAGGCATCTGAGAGAACTCTTGGGCATCAGATAAGCTTTCTGTAAGCTTTAGAATTTATATGCAATCATTCAGTGCCTACCTGGAAAAGTGACTTGTCTTTGGTCCTGACCAAGTAGCATTAAAAGAAAAGGCAATATCTATTTTATATTGATATATATACACTGTATCTTGATATACATTAAACGTTTTTACACAATAAACCAAAAATGTATAACGTTTCTAAACACAACATTTAAACAATAAAAGTGTTAAATAAAGCCAGAACTGTTGCACACTGTACATGAATAAAACTTTGATTGATGTTATTGATAAACGTTACTTTAGCAACACGAACTTACTTCAAGCTGCCCTGAGGGACAAGATGAGGTGGAAGATGATGCCGCTCCGTGTCTCTCCCGGGAGGCCATCTTTAGAAAGAGCCGACCGTAGGTAAAATACTAACAATAATACTTAACATAAGGCACGACGTATTGCACACCGCAACAACTTTTTGATATGCGCTCCACTGACGTCACCGTCTGTGCTTCCAGGTTAGAGAGCAACTGTCCATCAAAATCTCATTAGCCAATCAGAGTAGATCGCTGTTAAGCCCGCCCCCACGAGAAGTTTGTGCCAAAACAGCAAACGAAAATTTGCGAAGCGTAAGCGAAAGCTGTGGCAACGCATTCAAAATCCATGATTCGCGAAAACGATTGTTTGAAAATCATTAACAAAGAATAAAGCATATTTGAAGAACATGTTAAATTCGTTCGACTGAGTTCATTTTTTCGTTTTCATTGTGATTTTCTTCTTTTGCAGTGCCTTATTTTTGATCGTTTCTTGGAAAGTTACGTTCAGTTTTATAAAGTTACGTTCATTCTTATTGGCACAAAAATCATCCCATACAGCAGTAGAGCATCACACTAGTAAGGTCAAAGGTCATTGGTTCAATTCACAGTAAATACTTTGATACATTACGAATACATAAACTGATGTGATTTTTGAAGGCATCTTGGTAGTTGTTGTCATCATCACGGTAAAAATCTGTGATAAATGCATAGAAAGTTTAAAGGAATACTCTACCTTTTTTAGCTTAGCATTAAACATTGAAATGTAATGTAATATAATGCTTGTATTTATATAGCACATTTATTGTGTATGGCCATACACCCAAAGTGCTTCACAATCAAAAAGAGGGGTCTTTTCACACCACCACCAGTGTGCAGCATCCACTTAGATGATGCAACGGCAGCCACAGAACAACGGCGCGAGTGCGCTCACCACAATCTAGCTATAGTGACAGAGCCAATTCGGTGGATGGGGATGATTGGGAGGCCATGATGGATAAGGGCTGATAGAGGGAATTCGGCCAGGACACCGGGGTTACATCCTGACTGTTTACGAGAAGTGCTATGGTCTCATAGGACTCGTACAGAGCGCAGGTTGAGTGCCCCCTCACTAAGACCACTTCCAACAGCAACCTAGTTTTCCTTGGTCTTGGAATGCAGGGTGATATGGCTGTGGCATCAAATTGGATTAGACTATTAGCATCTCGCTCAAAAATAATTTAATTATTTAATTTTAATTATTTAAAGCTTAACCTTACTGTAGTTATTCTGTATCTATGCTAAGCTATGCTAAACTAAAAGTGACAATTTACACTTATGAATAGAGACTTTGTCAAAAATAGTAAGTCAATATACACTAAATAAAATATTACTCATTTTAATTATAATACTAATATTACTATGAAAATGTTTAATAAACTGGTTTCATACTATTTAAAACATTTAGTAAGATTTTTGAATTAATTAGGTTTTTTTTAAATATCTCCTGTTCATCATAACTGGATTTATTTATTGAAAAATATAATAAAACAGTAATATTGCGAAATGTTACAGTTTTGTAAAAAATAAAAAACCTTTTTGTTGTGCTAAATAAAACCTTGTGCTTTCTAATACTTAATAAACCAGAATACTTTAAAATTAAATGCAGTAAAAGTTCATAAACATTTATTGAAAGTATCTTCACAGTATCTGCCACAACATCATTCGTCATGCAGTATAAATCCGACAAGAAATAACTAAGTATTAAGTATCCATTCGCTTTAAAAGGAAAGTTAAACGTTAATGTATTGTAGTACAACATTAACAAAAAGTAGATGATATGGTGAATAGTTTTGTGCTTTAACACAAGTGAATATAACTTAGGCCCTTTGAAACATATAAAAATATCTCTTTGAGTCAGAAGTATGCTTCATTTGACTCCTGTCTGAAAGGGGACTTGCTATATATAGTAAAAGAAGTCTCTGATTTCCAGAGTGTGTGGGCTCTATTTTGACGATCCAGGCGCAAAATCCAAAGCGCAGGGCGCAAAAGCATTAAGGGCGTGTCAGAATCCACTTTTGCTATTTTAAGGACGGAAAAGTCCACTTTATACTGTGGTGCATGGTCTAACAGGGTCGAGCTCATTCTCTTAATGAGTTATTGGTGTGTTTTGAGAATAAACCAATCAGAGTCTCATCTCTCATTCCCTTTAAGAGTCAGTTGCGTTGCGCCATAGCGCATTTGCTATTTACATGACAGACTTTGTAAGTGGAAAAACTGAACACTTCACTAGAGAGAAATGAGTTAAACAGAGCATCTACAGCGTGAGAATGAGGGAATGAGCCTCCTCATTCTTTACTTTCACATTCACTCTCTTCCCTAGATAAGGAAAGGTGTATGCACAGACATCCATTAGCCTACATAATTAATTTAGTTTGTTAAAGATTTGTTTCAAAACTATTTGTAAATTCAGTTCTAATCTCCAGCAAACAAATAAAAGAACAATAATAACCAAGTGTGTTATATCCAAAGACACGTGCTATAACCTATATGGTCCAAAACCTGACAGGTGGGCAAATCTAAGCTTGTTTTGAATTAAACAAATATAAATATGCAAATAATAAATAATACTATCTCTAATAATAACATTATACAAAAGCAGATTGTCATGAATAAACTAAAAAAAATGAAGAAGACATGGAGGCAGTGGTTTTTATATTTATGTATAAAATAATATTTTTTGAAATATTTTAATCCTTTAATTCTTTTTCATTTGTAAAGATATTTGCGTATTACTGTAAATCCTGTGTGTATTAAGCAACTAACGCGCTCTGCGCTGGACCTTAGTCTCCCTCTCAGCTGGTCTATTGCGCAGTCTATTTTAGTTCCTCAAAATAGCAACGCGCCAGCAATGCACCTTAACACACCTCCTTTTTTAGACCAGAACGCCTATGGGTGCACATATGAGCGCAAATGCATTTGCTATTTAAACAGCGTGGTGCAAAATCTCAAAATGACTTTTGCCCCGAGCTGAAATTAGCAAACAACTATTGCGTCGTGCATTGTGCCGGGTGTATGATAGGGCCCTGTATGTAAAGTTTCAGCTCAAAATACGCCACAAATTATGTTTTAGAAAACTTTGATTCAAATTGTACTGTTTTGGTGACAGTCTCTTTAAATTCAAATGAGATTGTGCTCTTTTCAAAAGAGAGTGGAGCTACAAATGCCTATGTGTCAGCATAGTGGCAGATTCAAAAATAAGACTAATGTCCTGTACTAATGAGGTTAAGATTATCACTAATGGGCAAGGCTTTCCCGCTCTCATGACATGTACAAAAGGAGAATGTCAATCAAAGTGTTTCTGCAGATTTATCAAGCGTGACTATAAAAAAATAATAATAAAAATTGTACCATTAGAAGCTGGTTATATTCACAGATTGTTGTTATACGACTGTGTTTAAACCTTTTATAAAAATAATTTTACCACAATAGGTCCCTTTTAAGAGGAAAACTGAAGATGTGCAGGTTTTTAATACTTGTCTTTTTAATGTTTTTTTCAGAAGGCTTGTCTCTTCAAGCTCCATCAGGATCTTCTCTGTGGAATCAGCCGCTCGCTTCTATCTTCAGCGTCTCCCAGCCCTTCACTCAGGCTCCAGTCTTCTCCTCTTCTCCTGGCTCTGTCTGGGCAAATGCTCCTGCAGGTTTTGGATCCTCCACCGTTTCCCAACAGCTTCCATCATGGAGTGCCGCCCCAGTTTCCAATGGATCCAATGGTTCTTGGAGCCCTCATCCAACTCTGGGAAACCCATTCCAAAGCAGCGTATTTCCAGATGGACAGCAGAGCTCCAGTCCTCCTCCACTGGTTCCCCCGCGGCCAGTGGCCACCAAAGAAGCTCCAAAGGTGGACAGTAACGCTTTTGTTGACTTGGATCCTCTAGGAGAAAAGGAGAAGAGAGATATCAAGGACATGTTTAAGGATTTCCAGATGGCCAAGCCACCAAATGTGCCAGCAAGGAAAGGTGAGCAGATGTTGTTGCTGTATTTTTGTTTTAAAATCACCCGTTCTACTAAAGAATCCCATCCATTTGGTCTGCTTTGGGTGTTTGCTTAATGGGCGAGGGAATGCAACACATGCCAAGTTCACTTTATCACACATTTTTATGCGTGATAGTGTTTAGCAAGTTTTAGCATGCATAAACCTGTTGTCAGCTCAACACATCTGTGTTACTGCAGGTTTTACACTTACACTTTACACTGTTGGAAAAATAATTTTTGATATAAATATTAGCATATTAACATATTAACAGGCAGAAGCTTTTGTCCACTGTGAAACTTTTCTAAGGAAAATGTAAAACAAGGGTTTTCTTTTCAATTTTTAGGTAGTTTGATTTCAAATACTTATATGGCAGTATGCTTGACTTAAGTACTGTAAATAAATTCAACTGTTCTGTATAAATCAATTTAGAGAAACAGAGTCATATTAAAATATTTTATAATATATAATTTAAAGAATGATCAGTTTTTCAGCTGAGGAACATTTATCTTATGTTGAGGAACTAATTGTCAAGAAATTATAAAAAAATAATTGTTTATGACAATGTAAAGGTATAAATTCTGATTAGCAGAGAAAGTGTAAATTTTTAAATAATAGTAATTACAATAATAATGGAAAAAATGAATGATTGAATGAATGAATAATAGAAATAATAATATTTAATATTATTTACTGTGTGGAGTTTGCATGTTCTCTCCATGTTTACTCTGGTATCCCCCACAGTTCAAAGACATGTGCTATAAGTTTATTGGACAAGCTAAATTGGCTGTGTTGTATGAGTGCATGTGTGAAGTGAGAGTGTATGGGTGCTTCCCAGTACTGGGTTGCAGCTGAAAGGGTATCTTTTGCCTAAAACATATGCCAGAATAGTTGGTGGTTCATTCTGTGGCGACCCCGGATTAATAAAGAGACTAAGGCAACAAGAAAATTTTTCTTCTGGAGAAAGTTTTATTTGATTTATTTCAGTTAAAATAAAAGCAGCTTATAATTTTTTAAAACCCATTTTAGGGTCAATATTATTAGCCCCTTTAAGCTCTATTTTTGATAGTCTACACAGAACAAACCACTGTTATACAATAACTGGCCTAATTCCCCTAACCTGCCTAGTTAACCTAATTAACCTAGTTAAGCCCTTAAATGTCACTTAAAGCTCTATAGAAGTGTCTTGAAAAATATCTAATCAAATATTATTTACTGTTATCATGACAAAGATGAAATAAATCAGTTATTAGAGATGAGTTATTAAAACTATCATGTTTAGAAATCTGTTGAAAAAATCCGCTCTCTGTTAAACAGAAATTGAGGGAAAAAATTGTCTAAACTTTTTTTTAGAGTTCTTCGCGAGTCCAAAAAGTTGTAACTGACCTGAAGAGACCTGTAAATGTGCTGCCCATACCCAGACCCGTATGTTAAAAAGAAATTGTAGGAAAAAAATAAACAGAGAACCTTGAAAATGTGATATTATTGAAATAACTTAAAATTCTAGGTGTACTTCAAACAAATATATCATATCGTGAGATTTGGGATGGCAAGAAATGTTTTAAGAAACAAGAAATGGAAGCTTAACATGACTGATTTTTGTCACTATAGAGCCATTGAAAATTGGAGGTCAGAACCCATTCGACAACTCCTATGGAAAAGATCCGTTTGGCACATCTGTACCTGCAACTGTACGTATAATGCATCCATACAAGCAAATCTCAATCATTTTATGACATAGCATTATTTTGTGTTGTTGTAATTTCTTTCTTCTGTTCAACACAAATGAAGATATACTGAAGAAAAGCAGCCACTGACTTCAATAGTATTATTGTTTCTACTATGAGAGTGATTGTCTGCTTTTTTCTTACATTCTTCAGAATATCTTGTTTTGTGTTTAAAAGAATAAATAAATTCTAATAAATGATAGGGATATTTTGGGGGTGAACTCACCCTTTAACATCTCTTTTCTTCTTTACTTTAACAGAGCGCTCCTCCCATAAAAGCAGTGGGCTTAGATTCTTTCAGAGACCCATTTGGAAACCCATTTGCATGATAGCCGTTCACCCTGATGACTCCATAGGGTCCAAACTAAAAGAATCATTGAACAAGAAATTATGCAAAAGCAATTCCATCCCAGATGTTTCTTACAGCTTTATAATGTTTTGGATACAGCAGCACCGGTTTTATGTAGCTTTTCCACTAAAGTGCATCCCGTTGAAGAGCAGGTCTCTTAGCTCTGATGTCACAGCCAAATCAAGCGTCTGCAAACCTCCAGCTTTTATAAACCAGCATCACATCTGTATGTTGGTTGAGGACAGGCTGAAAAGAAACCATCATCCAGTTATGGTTTCCTGCTAAAACACGGATTTCACTGCAGTTTGCCTGTGAATGACAACATGGTCATTCATGGAGTGGTTTTGTTTTCTGCACTAAAAGCACTCAGAAACAATTTAGTCACGTCTCCTTTGAGGACTTTTTCTATATTGCAGTATTATATATTGACTTTGTGTTTACTCTTCCACATTTATCGAAAGCTTTAGGGCATGCGATTGGTCACTACTTTTGACAGATGAACAAATTCCATGTTTTTGTTTGTTTGTTTAAATCCAGTTTAAAGGGTTAGTTCACTCAAACATTTAAAACGTGCTATTAATTATTTAAACTCAAGTCGTTCCAAACTCTTGAGACATTTATTCATCTTCAGAACACAAATTTAAGATATTTTAAATGAAATCAAAGAGCTCCAGGCCTGTCACAATAAGGAATTTTTGTTGTGCAATATATTGTAATAGAAATTGCTGCAATAAGCAATATTATTGTCATTTTGAGATGGATTTATGCCACTGACTATCTAATGATATAATTATATTATATCATTATTATTATATATAAATTTATATTACAGCATAATAATGCATATAGCCATAAATGCTTTAAAATGCTTAACATTTTTTTAAATTATTTAGATTATATAATTTGATGTTAAAAAGGTAAATGTCCTATTGTATATACACTATTAAATGTCCTGTTAGGTAAATGTCCAAATATAAAGTTTGACACTGGGTAGGTGGAATGTAAATGTCAGTGTAAAATTGCTTTAACATTATTTGTGAATTTGTAAATACATATTGCAAGGGTAAAAGTAATTGAGGTCATCTCCAAGTATTGCATGATAAATCAAAACATTGATTATTGTGACAGGCCTAGAGAGCTCCCTCATCCTCCATAGACAGCAATGGTTCCAAGAAATTCAACGTAGTGAAAAAGAAATACTGTCAAAACATCGATTTCAGTGGTTCAAAAATAATCATATGAAGCTCCAAGAATGCTTTTTTGTTCAAAGTTTTTGTTTTTTCTGTTATACAGAGCAAACAAAAATGAAGTACCCCTTTCCCAGAACACCAGATCTAGGAACAATATGTAATCAAACGTTCAGTTCTACCAGAAAGACTTTAGGAGGCAGATAAACGTTTAAACATTTATTGTGAATTGTTTGCATAAATGTCAGTTTGTTACGGTCCTTTCATAAAGTCCTTTGGCGTAAGCCCCGTCTATAGTGCAGAACTCTGGATGAGCTGGCAGATCCTACCTGAAGATGAATGCAGGGCGAAGCCATCCCCCTGAGTGGAGACGAGGCCGACCTGGTGGTGGTGGTGATGGAGAGGATAGAGGGAAACTTCCGCAACGTCACCTGAGTACAGCGATTGTTTAGATGGGCTTGCATATAGCTTGCTTGGTTGTTATAGGCGGACGAGATAATTAATATGAATGACGTGACATCTCAATCTTCCTGTCAGAACTCTCGCTAAAGCTTTTATAGAAAATAAACGATGAAAACATGACAAGAAAATATGACACTAGTTCCTTTTTTCTCATATTGTCATGTTGTGTGCGTCCATTTACATCACAACAGACCCTTTGATAGTATGCCTTATTTTCTTCAACTTAAGATGAGACATCACTTCTCTTATCCAGTGATTACCTGTTGGTGGAATAGATAACAATATCTGTCTTCTAGCAGGAGAACAAAAGGCTAACATTTGAATTTGTCTTATATTGAGAGGAGCGTTTTCAGGGGCCACCCCGAACTACGCAAGAAATGGTGATGGCTCTACTACCACCCCAAATGCCACAGAAAAGGTCTCATAATAATTCAGTATATGTA